TGCGGGCTGCGCGACCTGGTCGCGGAAAGCGGGCGCTCGGGTCTCCGGCGGCGGCGAGCCTCGGCCCCCGGCGCGGCGGCGCACCTGCCCGGCGCGGGCTGCACGCCCTGCTCCTGCTTGAGCAGCTGCAGCTTGCGGCGCAGGTTGAGCTGGTGCCGGTCGCGCAGCCGCGCGCGCGCCATGTGCGCTGCGGAGCAAAGCGCGAGTCAGCGGGGCCGCGGGGGCGCGGGGCGCGGGCGCGACGGAAGGCCGGTACCCTTGAGCTGGCTGAGCAGGCTCTCCCAGTAGCCGACGTCGACGCCGTCGCGGCGCCCGCTGATCTTGTGCTCGATCTGCGCCTGCAGCGCCTCCAGCTGCGCGCCCGTCTTGCCCTTGAAGATCTGCGGAAAGCGGCGGAGTCAGTCGCGCCCCGAGCGCGGGGCGCGGGGCGAGGGGCGCGGGGCACCTGCGTCACGTCGTCGGCCACCGCCCGGTGCACGCCGTCCCTGGCGGGCGCCGGCGCCTTGAGCCGCCGCAGCTTGCCCAGCTCGTCGCGCACGATGGTCGCCACGTCCTCCCAGTACGAGACGTTCGCGTTGTTCTCCAGTTCTTTGTACACCTGCAGCGGAACGAGATCCCGGTGAACCGGACGATACTGTCGAACTGAACATATTTTGATGTTTCGAAACAATTCGCGCCGCACTTTAATGTCCTCGAGGAGGTCCTCGAGGTCCTGCGTCTGCAGGCCGTTGAGGTAGGTGTACGGCTCGTGCATCTCCAGCGCGTCCACGCACTCCTCCGAGCTGACGTACCACGCCAGCAGGTCGATCGGCTTCGCTGTACAGGCAACGAACTGCGCGTTCACTAGTGAACCGAGGTGACGCTGAAGAAACAGGTGTGAGAAAAATGAGAGGGAAGACCTCGTCCGTCGCGGATGCGAATCTGCGAGCGCAGCCGGGCCTGGTGGAGGTGGAAGGCGTCCTCCTGGCGCGCCCAATTGTGGTACTGCAGCGCCTCCTTGGCGCGCGCCGCCGCCGCCGCCTCGGCCTCTCGGGCCGCGCGCTCCGCCTCGCGCTCCAGCCGGCGCTGCTTCACCTGCACATTCGCCGCACCTCATTCAACGCTCATCAGTATCACATAGCCCAAAAGCAATTTCCTACATTTTCCTTGCCAATTATTTACAAATCTAACTACTTACCCTTACATCCTTAAATCGTGATTACTAACTAACAACCGAATGAGTACATGGAAAATATTTCTCTAAAAAATTTTAAACAGTACATTTTAATTAATTACCTTCTCCAGTTCAATTTTGTTCTCCATTTGTTTCTGTCTGTTGAGAGCCTCCAACTCATCGTGGGACACATTCTTGACACCCTCCTTGGCTAGCTTCTTTGTCCAAACGAATGTATTAGTGAGTGCCGAGTCACCAAAGGGATTGTCCTGGTTGGTGTAACACTGATATTCGTTGTCCCAACCCATACGCTCCCGACGACGACGCTCCTTCTCCTGCTTTTCACGCAGACGACGAGCCCTAATAAAAAATTTCTACTTCAAGCTCCATACAACAAAAGTGATAATTGAGCAGTGGTGATTTGTTTTTTTTACCATACTGCTGCAATGATGTCATATCACCACATTTTTACCTAAATGGCAAGAAACTGTCAAATATATATTAAAACATGAACAAAAGTTCGAAAAAAATCAAAATTAGCAAACCATTGCCATCATTTATCAAGTCCACCAACTTATAACCTGAGATATTGCAAAGATACAGTACCGAGTATTATATCCTGTGCACCACCATGGTTTAAGAAGAATATGGAAATCCATTAATATTTAGACCATACCATCAAGGAAGGTTACAGCAAAAAATTTTAATCTGGTTTCTTATCACCAAAAACAAGTTACCAAGTAACCTGCTGCATTTACAAAACTATGTCTTATCTTAAACTTGGATCAACAATGTGATTACTGTGATGCTACAGCTAAAATTACATCCATCACAATTTTAGAAAATTCTCCCTGGCACAATTGCACTATATGATTTATATTTTTGATATGTCACAATAATGTGCAAAACTGAATAAAAGCACGAATCTTGTACTGCAAAGTAGAATTCTGCCACCGGTAGCTAAAAGAGCGCTTGTGACAAAAACTAAGACCTGAGAAAATAATGTTTAAAGTAGGCAATGAAATTAAAAAATATGTACTTTTCGCACCTAATAATATCGACAGGTCGGCCTTTTTTACTGATCACGGCAGCATATGTAACAAATTTTAAAAAGTCATATGCACCCTTTCAACTAACGGTGGCAGAATTTATTTATACCAGTTTATTTAGTTATATATTAATCAGACCAAACATGCAAGAAATTTAAGATTTTGTAACAACAACCACAACTTTTTCTTTACGATTTTAAGAAATAGGATAAGCAAGTTGTGCACTTATGGGAAGGCATGTTGTGGTTGCAGTGCCACTTGGAGCTTTATCGCAAAGATCTGAGGAGCACCGACACTGCAACCTTTACCCCAAGACATAAAGTTGACAAGTCACATGCTGTAAATGCACAAGAGCACCCTTACACTTCAAAACCGCAATGTAGTAATAACACCATACCTATTACCGCATTGCGGTTTTTAAGTGCACTTCCTTAGATAAACTCTTTCGCAAGGAGCTGTACTTCTACTATAGTTTGTTTAAATCCATTCTAGATTAAAGGTAAACACACAGGTCTCAATCAACCACAGACAGTTTAGAGATGGACGGCCAATTGTACTGCCAATTCCAAATTAATTAAATATTTGTGTGACTCAATATGTTTAGATGAATCAATTGGAATAACAGTTCTTTTTGTCAATTAACATACATAAGGTATGTGATTTGATGATTAGATACTGAGTGATGATATTTTAATATGCACTACTAGAATATATGTATAATAAATAAATAATGTCGCGTGTCCTGTGTTGCGGGTGCCATGGACACACACATAGACAACCACAAATTACACCCAAACTCACAAGAGAAATAATTGTAGGCCATACAACTATTTCTCCCGGCCCAGGAATCGAACCTAGGACCTCTACGTGGCAGTTGTGGCAGGCATGGTAACCGTTCAGCCACGGAGGCAGTTAAATATGTGTATATGCATACATGGGACTTAGAAATTATAACCTGTACAGGTTGTAGAGAATTCTGCACATTGATTGATATGGTGACTTCTAATAAATATACATAATAAATATTGTTGGAAAAAGTGATATTAAGTTGAAACTTTCAAAATATATGGTGAAAGTGTTATTTATTCAATTTATTGAGTAATTCATCTAGACTGGATTAAAACGAACCATACTGCAACTGCTATGCAACATGATGCTAAGCAAACATCCTTAGTATAACAATTGCCTAATAAGAGGCACTAAACACCTAACATCATGTGGTTAACTTAATACAACTGTTTACCAATATGCAGACTATAAAAACAATGTTAGCCACTGAACATTATAAAATTACATATAAAATTAATATAGATATGTTTTATATATCTATATTATACTCAGCACATGCCTTGAAGGACAATCTAGAGCAGAACACTATCTATTATCATTCTGACATTTTGTAACAATTCTTGTTTTCACATTTTACCTCTTCTCTTCAGGGGTCTCATTGGCTTTCATCATCTCTTTCTGTTTTCTCTTTTCCTCCTTAAGGCGGAGACGCTCTGCCTCCAGCCTCTGCAGCAGCTTTAGTTCCTCCTCATCACTATCACTGCTTGTGCTGCTAGATGAATTTCTGTATTTCTTTTTCTTCTTTTTAGTCTTTTTGTATTTCAATGCCTCTTTTTTCTCCTTCTCTCTACTTGATGACCTGTGTTTATGTCTTACAGGTGACTTGGACTCGTTTCTTTTGTAACTGTCTCTGTGACGCTCGAGTGAACGACTGCAGGTGCGGTCTCGACGTCTCCTCACTTCATACTTGGAAGACCTAAAAAAATAGAAAACAAAAATGTACTAAAACGTACATGCTATTGGAGGGTGTTGTTTCTGCTGTCTCTGTTAATGCCTTCAAAAACAAGCTCGACAACTGGCTACGAAAGAGTGAATTAGTGCTAAAAAAGTGTACTAAAACAACGATATACATTTCAACACTGTGTGATGTAGACATACCAGCAAAAGCTGCTCGTCTACAATCAAATAAATAAAAATAAAACACGTCTGTTGGTCAAATATGTGTGATTGTCTTATTTACTCTAGCTTTTGGTTTTATGAGATGGTTAATATATTTTATTGTAAACGGGTAGGGCAAATGTTTCATTACTAATTTTATTGGATCATTTTATTAGCAATTTGAAAAGAAACATTACTTACATACTCGTTCCAATATTAAACCCGGCACAGTAAGGGGAGACACAATTTTGAGAATGTCATGCAATCACTCCAAAATTTGGAGTTCAAATCCGGGAAAGTGAAAAGCAAACAATAATAATTAAGTAAACGAGGGCACAAAACAATACTCTTTGGTGCACAAATTGGAAAGATTTATGAGTGCGTCACGCTAGGGATATGTATAAAATATATATATATGAAAATATCGATATTTTTCATGAAATAATCGATACATATTTTGAAACTCGATTCATCAATAACAGATTTTTTCGAGTATCAATTTCGATATTTTTAATCGCAGCCACGGCTAGTGTTTGGTCGGATAAAAACTTCCACTTTTAAAAAGTCATGTTTCTATGAAAATAAATATTTTTCCTTTATTTTTCCATATAACGTTGTAATCATAGTTTACGTAGTCTGTGGTTGTAATCTGTCAAAAATTGAAATTACTGAACGAAAACGACATAGGCAACAAAAAGTGGTGGTATGATTGTTGGATTTTTCTGTGACTTTTAGATAATATATTATGTTTATTTTTATTTCACGCTGAATAAAACTTCAAAGGTTATTTTTAACGTAGAATATAATATGACTTCGAAATTAAATTTTTCGGGAATATTTATTGAAATTTTTTGGAAAATTGAGATGGTCAATATAATATATAGCACAAATTATAACGTTAAATTAAAAAAAAAATAATTATAGTAATTATAATTTGAAAGAAATAAAGGCGCTAAAATACTTTCACTTTGGATTGAAGTACGTTAAGAAAATTAAACTAAATGCAATCTAGCTATAATTTTACAATATTTCAATGTGTCGACTGCCATCACGGAAGAAAAATACAATGGAAGTGCCATAAGCTTCGACTATATGCGCCAAAACGCAAACAAACAATAGATAAAGACTATGAAATCTTGATGATGATTGGTCGTAGTTCCTAATTTAAAAAGACGTAACGAGTCCTGGAACTGTTAATATAATTTAAACTTTACCCAGTTGTTATATCGTTGAAAGTCTTAAGACTTTTTTTGCAAATTACGACGTTTTGATTTTATTGAAATTTAATACAACGTGCTGCCATCTTGCGGTCAACAGCTGGACTGCGACAAATGACTAACATCTGAACGAATAGAAAGTAGTATTAGCTTTTATTTTTATTCCGCGATTTCCTTTCCTCGTTTTTAATTTCATAGTAATATCCATAAACCCAACCAAAGTTCCACAACAACAACTGCTACGACAATAATAATTATCCTGAAATCTCGAGAAGCAAGAAAATATTTATTTGGAAGAATTATCAAAAATTTGCAACTCAGTGGAAATTGCATATGGCCAGAGGCTGGACGCCATAGTGCCAAACTATAAGAGAAAAAGAAAAAAAATAGTATCTCTTCAAGAAAGAGGACCTTTCGCTGGCACTAGTGATGCACAGCGGAATTCTTGTGTTATCGATAAGTGGTAATAATATTGAAGGATTTTTTTCTGTATAATCGCGTTTTACTTTGTTTCCGTTTACTTCGGTATAGAATAGCGTTTATTATGTTGGAAATAAAATGAATTGTCCTTGGTTGAAACAATTATAACGTGAAATACTTTCACATATTATTTGTAGCATTTAACATTTGGAGTGAAACGCGAAATAGCTGATTGATTTATTGATGTTAAATTTCACGCTTGAGAACGCTTAACACTAATGCTATATTTACTACTTAGCGAGTATTATAGTTGTAGTTATGTTATAAATTATAATTTTGGTTACGTTTTAACACGATTTTGAGCTAATGGTGAAATTTTATTTGGTGGAAAATTTTGTTTGGTGAAGCGATTTAAATTAAGATATAATTACTTGGATTTATTTAGTATGTTTAGCGTTTGTTTAATAAATAAGTTGTTGTAATATTTGTACATAAAACTAGGAGAAAAAATTATTATGAGTGTAATTTACTGTAAATAACAAATGTTAAGTTTTGTGCAAATTGTAAATAGTTAAAGTATGAAGGTAAGCTCATTGATTTATCTTCTATAACCTGTAACCACCATATGTAATAGTTACAAAACAAATGAAGTCGGTCGTAATAAAAAAATATAGACTATTCTATAGATAGACCATAGATGCTATACTTAACAAGTTTGCCTTATTATTCCATCCTGGAAAAAATAAAGGATGGTTTCCTTTTTCTATCCTCTAAGGTTTCCATAGTCTAAAAAGTTAGCACGTCTCAACTATTTCAAGTTTCTTTCGATTCGTTACGTTATCTTATCACACGACTTAGCGCTGCTAAAAATTATAATTTTAGGACATTAAATAGCGCGCTATAAAAATGTAGCATTTAGCGCGCTATGCGAATATAGCAGTTAATCTCATCTCTAATATCACAGACCGCATAAATTATGGCATAAATACTCCTAAATACCACATCTAAATAATATAACATTTAATCTTTTTAAGCTGATTGCCTTGAAGCCAATGCTTAATAAATTAAAAAAAATATATAACATTCATTCTTTATTTAAACCATGTTTATTTACATCTCATAAACTCCTCGCCTGATTTCTTTTTCACTTTTTCTCTTTCGAATCCCGTTTCCAAATTACTTTCCATGATATTTTAAGTTCCCCCTTTTAAAAACAAGTTAGAGAAAACACTTTGAAAGTGGCTAAAACGCTTACCGCGAAGGGCCAAGGGAAATAAGAAAAAAAATTACCAACAGTCAACATTGGACGGCACTTGATTGTGACGACATAAAGTTTCTTTTCTGTTAATGACGTTAAATTTGTTGAACGTGAATGTGTAATTTTAATTAAAAACTCTGAAATTAAAGGGAAAAGTCATAAAAATTGTGATGGTATACTATTTTACAGAGTTTATTCCTACATTTCCAGAGGATTTTAGTGGTGTTACTTATAAGATAAGTCCTAAAAACAAGAGTTCATTGAGCGTTAAGTGTTGCACTAAAACTTTCGAAAATGTCTTTCTTGCGAGGTTCAGAAAACTATGTATGGTGTACCACCAGCGTCCTTGGAAAAGGCGCGACTGGTGCCGTCTTCCAGGGAGTCAATAAAAACAATGGGGAACCAGTAGCAGTGAAAACTTTCAACCAACTTAGTCACATGAGGCCTCATGATGTTCAGATGAGAGAATTCGAGGTTCTGAAGAAAGTGAAGCATGAGAACATAGTCAAGCTACTTGCTATTGAGGAAGAGCAAGAAGGTCGTGGTAAAGTCATTGTTATGGAACTTTGCACTGGTGGTAGTCTATTTAATATTTTGGATGACCCTGAAAATACTTATGGCCTTCAAGAGCACGAGTTTCTCTTGGTTCTCGAGCATTTAACAGCTGGCATGAAGCATTTGCGTGATAATAATTTAGTACACAGAGATTTGAAGCCAGGGAATATAATGAAGTACATCAATGAGGATGGAACAACTACATACAAACTGACTGATTTTGGGGCAGCACGGGAATTGCAAGAAGAAGAGCAGTTTGTATCCTTGTATGGTACTGAGGAATATTTGCACCCAGATATGTATGAGCGTGCAGTATTAAGGAAGCCAGTGGGTAAAAGTTTTGGAGCCACTGTGGATCTGTGGTCGATTGGGGTCACTCTGTACCATGTAGCCACAGGACAGTTGCCATTCAGACCTTATGGTGGGAGAAGAAATAAGGAAACAATGTTTTACATTACTACTAAGAAAGCTTCTGGGGTTATTTCAGTAAGCATTCATTCATATCATTTTATAACAAGATAGTGTGTGTGAAATGTAAAACTATTGTATTTAAATTAATCTGTATTTAATTTAAAAATATTTATCATAATGTTTAGGGCACACAAACAACAGAAAATGGACCAATAGAGTGGGCAAGGGAACTCCCATCTCACTGCCAATTGAGTGCAGGGCTCAGGAAACTAGTTACGCCACTGTTAGCTGGTTTGCTGGAAGTAGACCCTCATAGGATCTGGAGTTTTGACAGGTTCTTTTCTGAAGTGCAGACAGCGACGTCCACGAAGGCAGTGCATATATTTCATGTTAATAAGGCGACTAGTCTTAAGGTAAGTAGTTATATGATTTTCACTTATTTGCGTAAAATGTGTTTTGTACATCAACAAAGTCTTGGATCAAATATATTTTCAAATTTTTATGCTGGTATTATATCTTCTACAAGCCATGAGAGCCGAGTATGCTCATGCTCTTTGGTGGCACAGCTGTTAGTACTATGAGCGCTTGATGAGGAGGTCGATTCCCGATTTATGCCAATTTAAGAAACGAACATTTCTAAGTTGGTTTTGGTTTCAGTATTCTGGGTTATCGTTGATTTGGTATTCATAGTACTTACATAGTACAGGATATTCGGCAGTAGTTTGGCATTTTTTCCCCCTAAATACTTCTCTTTGGCATAACTTTCAAGAAAATGAAATCTAACGTAGAGACGGTTGACATACAACAACGTTATAATAAGTATCTCATTTCCGCTACATCGGGAAGCATGCTTTACATTTTTACAATTGTGAGATCTTGTACTCGTAATCTATTACGTTTCCGTATGTTATCTCCATTTGATGGCGTGCGGACGCTTCGGGCTTCGCCCTCCGCGGACCTCGGCCTCCTACCTCAGGTCTTAAGGCTTTGTTTTAAAAAAATTTAAATAGCAGTTTAATGGTGGCCATAGTTAAAAATTGCAAAAATACATTTTGACCACTAATTATTATCAAACAATCTTAGAAATCTTTTTTTGCCAATTTTCACTCCGAGCAAAGCAAGTTTTTCAATAGCTATTAACATAAAAAGATACGGCTATATCGAAAAACGGCAGAAACAAAATTTTTACCCCAAATTGTGATTGAAGCCATGCCATTTTCAGTCGAATTAGAAGAAATTTTTATCTACCGCCAAAAAAGTTTGTATGGCGGCCATATTGAAAAAAGACAAAAAATAAATTTCGACCGCAAATTATTATCAAACACTTATAGAGATCCCCACATATAGATTTTCAGTTGAATTAGAGCTAATTTTTATTAGTTGTTGAATGGCGGCCATATTAAAAAATGGCGTAAAACCATTTTTGATCACAAATTATTATCAAGCACTCTTAGAAACCCACACATGCCAATTTTCAAAGGGATCAAAGCATTTTTTTTCTGCCGCCAACGAACGCTTCTATGGCGGCCATATTTGAAAATGGCGAAAAATCCCCGAAGATATACGCATACCAATTTTCAGCCGGATCGAAGCAAGTTTTTCTTCGGCCGCCATCTTGATTTTTTTAACCCAGGCAGTTGACCACTATTAGTCTCTGACATTCCTTCGAGCACCTCCTATATATCTCTAATAGTTTCCGTGACAGGAGACTTTGAAATTTGTATGGCGGCCTTCTTATTTATTTGAATTTCGAACAAATTTTACTGCACAAATATTCCCTCCATATGTTATAGTTTTTGCAGGCCGTTGATCACTATTTCATATTTTCCACATACTACGCCCGTCCTGTGCGAGAATACTTAATCCAAGAATATCCTGGGCGTTGGATCGGGCGACTTGGTCCTATCTTATGGCCGTACTAACGACTTTTGGCTTGGCTTATTGGACTGGATTTAAGTGATCTGCAAACTAAATTGACCTGGCATCACTTTGGACTGTGAATTGGAGGAATTTCTAAATTGTATCGACTACGCACACGTGCCATTGAAATTCCAAGAAATTGCAACACATAACCTTTTTTCGGCACATAGTAAAAGCGATTATTATGAACAAGAACAATAATCAAGAATTTTAATCTTTCTTAGAAATGGTACCAATATTTTTGGCGCCTAGTTTTATTAAAGTATTATACCATTTTGGAATCTTGGTTAGTTGCGTCAATTTTTAAAAAAACTTGCCGCAGTTGTGTCCATACTTTTTTTTTTACAAAACGATGAGTGAAAGTCGACTGAAGGTAAAAATATTTCAAAATTTTAAGGAAAAAAAATATTTTGATGGATTTTTGTGTAAAACTGCAGGCAAGCAGTACTACTTAGGTGGCCGTTAAAATTAAAACATCAGAAATATCTGAAAAAATGTGGTCGTGGTGATTCAAAATATCATTAAGGGAGTAAATTTTCGGAGAATAACAATTTTTTTATCGTAATTGAAAAAAAAATGAGATTTTTTTCTTATTTTTCCTCAAGTAGTTATGCGCAGGTCCACCCTCCAGCGCCCGCTTATCGTTGAATTTTGGGACACGCTGTATAATGGTATTGATAAAAAGTGAGACAAAGTTATAAAGACTCGAGATAACACCAGCACGCTATGATGGCTGTTTTGACATTTGTCCGCTCATCAAGTTTCGTATTAATTCATAACTATGTTGAAGGAGCTAATTGCTGTACATTATTGTCAATAGTGATGTGCAGTAAAATTTATGGAATGTATAATTTTACGACACAACTCAGCATTTGGTTTTTGAAATTGGAAATCTAAAAAAAATTAAATCTAATACCATCATCACTTATACGATCGCTGGCCAGCACGACTTCTTCAAAACAAAGCTGTTTCGAATTGACAATATATTAAGTGAACATAGGAAATGAAACTATTTTTCCGAACTTAAATTGCGTGTATTTGTTTTTTCAGACAAAGAAATATACACGATTTAAATTGTTCAAAAGTTATTTGTTTGAAAAGACAAATATACGCGATTTAAGTCTGGAAAAATAGTTTCATTTCCTATAAACATTTTTATTTTTGTTTTATTAAAACTTTTTAATCAGCTACCCTTGCAATACTAGTTATAAATCTAAAAACTTGTAGATGTGCCTCGATTTGATTATATTTTTTTCAATAATGAATTGAGATTTGACTTCACTATTGTAATTTGTCAAAACGGCCATCATAACATGCCAGTACTGTAAACAGTAATGGTGTACTTAATGATTTTGGTACTGTAGCATCTCTAAAGGTGCCTACAGATACGATCGACATTGACGATCGGTCGATAGACATTCGACGAGTTGTTTGGGAGTGCTTATTGAGAATGTGGCATTAATTTCTAAATCCAAGATGGTTGCCAAGAATTTTCAAAAATGTATTTTTGGTAATCTTTATGGAAATGGCATTTATATCTGAATACATGATGGCTGACACGACTTTTCGCATTTTTAAATGCAAGATGGCCGGCACGATTTCTAGATAATCGAATAATGGCAAGTTGGGTATTGTTTTCGAGATATTCGGGAGAGCTCATTACGAATATAGCACTTGTAAATCCAAGATGGCCGACACGAGTTAAAAAAAATCAATATGGCTATCCTTTTAGAGGTATTTGGTGATGCTCAATACGAATATGGATCTCTTTTCTAAATCCAAGATGGCGGGGACGATTTTTCGAATAATGGCAAGTTCTATCAATCTCTGGAATTCAGGAAAACTCAATGGAAATCAGGTCCCTTTCCCTTGTTATTGTTTAAATTTTCATTGCATTTCCTTTATTTTTTTCTCTTTGTAGTCATTATGGAATTAAAAGTGGAATTCAAATAGTAAAACAATATCCAAATTTAATTTTGTATCTCGCATTTATCTCTCCCTATCTATATCATTATGTAATACTGGGTACAGTTAACCACAATGTGGACAGTATTTGCCCATTAGTCTGTATGTCACATCTGTTTTTATTAGGATGTACTATGAAAGCACCACAGTTATAAAACTTTTGTTGTTCTCATCTTTCTTTTGGAATTATTTTGGAAATATGTTTTTTATCAAAAATAAATAAAATAAAATAAGAAAATAAAATAATAAAAATAAAATAAGTTTTATCAAAAACCAGGTTGTGCTAGATAGGGTCTAACATGGGCGGTCAACATAACAAAACAGAAGTGTAGCAAACATAGATTTACCTATATACTAAATCTATGGTAGCAAATAAACATAAGTACTTGCTTTCAACAAAATGTTCAGAGGTCATTGACCTACCAACACAACGTCTGAGGTCAAATGCGCACTTACATTTTATAATTAAAAAAAATAGTGGGTATCATACGAAAGAGTTTATACATTCCAAATTTTTTTGTTTTAAAAATGTATGTTGCTTAGTTATTCCCATAATGCGGGTCACATAAAGTGTCAAGGACGGAAACCTGCATGTGCAAGTCCTCACATTTAGTGGGCCTAGTGGTCCAACACAGCACATCATTTTCAACTAGTCCCCAAAAAACAATGCAATATTATATAAAGCGTAGCAGCCCAACAAGTCAAGGTAGTTTTGGCGAGTAGAATGAGTGCATTGCGTAAGGTTTCGCCGCCTCTGCCCCCGGCCGTCTCGGTCCGCCCGCCCGACCCACATTTAAGAACAAAGCTATTTGCAAGCATTGTCTTAGATCAACCACGTGGCATTACGTACTTCCGATAACATTCGAATTAAACCTCGCAACTCAACTAGCCGTAATGCCAGTTAATCTGTATGGGTGTTTGTTTACCCCTCAATGTATCATTTAATGATCGCTGTGCATACATGTTTCCACAGATGCATTTTTGGCGTTTGTGTTTGAGTTGACTAAGGGTCGTATTCCAGAACTCTACTCAATGCTCAAGTCAGGACTTGAGTATGATTTAAAGTACTGAAAATGATACTCAAGTCCTTGCCATTAGGATCGTATTTCCAGTGCTTGAAATCATACTCAAGTCTGCTCAAGTCAGGACTTGAGTATTGCAGTGAGCATTGAAAATCATACACAAGTCCTTGCCATTAGGGTCGTATTTCCAGTGCAATCCTGACTTGAGCATTGAGTAGAGTTCTAGAATACGACTCTGAGGGTCGTATTCCAGGACTCTACTCAATACTCAAGTCCTTGCCATTAGGGTCGTATTTCCAGTGCTTGTATTGCCAGTGCAATCCTGACTTGAGCATTGAATAGAGTTCTAGAATACGACCCTAAGTTTGCTAAACAGGCCCGAAATATGTTTACAAAGTGAAATGTGTTCTTAAAGGTCTTTTTTTTTATTAATAATTTTGGCTTGGATACAAGTCCTTTGAGCCATGTCTTCGTTTAATTATGTTTCTGTAAATATGGCCGCCACAAAGAGGATAGGGAATTTGAGGCGGCGTGCTTGGATTGTATTTTAGTTCGAGATTAGTATAATTTCGCGTTTTAGTCTTCGATTAAGGCACAATAGCACTATCCTATTACACTTTAAACTAGATTTCACAAAATAATTGAAAGTCAAAATAAAAACGACACTTTTCCCTCCAGGCCCAGAGCGAATCCGTTCTCAATGGTCGAGGGCAGACTGAAAACCAGTGCTGAGCTATTTTTTTCACTATTTCTAAGTAGTTTTGTTTATTAAGTATTATTATGTGTGGAAATGAATGATTCAGCCATAGATATAGACAAAAGGGGAGATGTGCCATGACGCTATGTAAGAGCGTATACCGATGTCGCCACTTTTTTACTTTTTCAAGTGTGCAAATCAAACTTTATGCTCTATTATCTACTAACTTAAATTACCGATTTGGATCAGATAAGGTTTAAAACATGAAAACGACGTAACATAATTTACTATTTTAAACAATTTAAACTTACAGTCACTTGCGTAAGGGTGTATTTCCACCGGCGAGGCGAGACAATTTTTAAAACTTGTACGGCAAAATATCAATTCTTTCCTAGTGCATCTTCGGTGGAAATGTTCGGGATTGAAGAAGAAGGGCGAGACGAGATTTGAAATATTTGTTGATGTAACATTGAACCGTATTGCTGCCTATGTAGACTCTTTATTAACTCTGCAACGGAAACACGATTCACGATGTCTCGTACGATATCGCTTAATATACAGGGTTACAGGAAAAGTCGTGCTAGATCCGTTAAGGGCGTGGAGTACTCATCATTTCTGACTTATTTTACTATGAAACACCCTACCCTAAACTTAACCCTTTTCGAGATATTTGACTTTTATTTTTTTTATTCAAAATTGCCGATTTTTAGGCTACTAAATTTAATTTTGTTTATTTTGTGTGTCTTATTATTATAATTATTGCATTTTTACATGTGTGATAAGATGCTTTAGGACCTCAATCATTAAAATAGTGAATAAGTTAATTCAATACGCCGTAGTAGAAAAGAGAAAGTTAAGAAATTAAAACAAAAATTAGGAGTTTATTTTTCTCTAAGGTATATCTAAAAAAATATTATGGCAGTTGATCGGCAGATAAGTTATAAAATATCTACGTTTCATCAGCTATCTAACAAGGTATAACAATCTAGGGTTTTATTTAAATGCATTGAAAAAACTTAGTTTCATAGGCGATAGTGGAGGAGAAAATTAATACTTAGCCCTAAAAAGTATAACAAAAATTTATTAAATCAGGTTTTCACACAACTTTTTGTTATTCTACAGTTCATGTTCAACATGGCCGCCTCTGTTTCTAATACATTGTCGCATTCTTCTACGGAGACCAGTCTTCACTACTCCAGTGGTCAACGTTGTCCTCATTTGATTTGCTGCATCCACAATCCTTTCTTTTAACTCTTCTCACAGACGAAACTGGATTTGACTCGCTGTAGACAAGACTTTTCATGCGCCCCCACACATGAAAATCCATGGGGGTTAGGTCCGGACTTCTTGCTGGCCATGGCAACGGCCCACCTCGTCCTATCCATTTGTTTGGATAATTTGTGTCCAGCCAGTCTCTGACACTTCTCCTGAAATGGGCAGGGCAGCCATCATGTTGGAACCACATGTCCCTGATCAAGTTGAGTGGCAGATCATCCAGCAAATCACTCAAGTCTCCTCTCAAAAAATTTTCGTAACTTTCCCCATTTAGATTGTCCGGGAGAAAGTAAGGTCCAATCAAATGATTGGAGATAATACCCATCCACACATTCACGCTGAATCTTCGTTGGGAACCCTTCACTCTTTTCTTATTGGGATTCCTAAGTTCTTTTGGGGCCCAGTAATGCGCGTTGTGATAATTAGTTATGCCATCTTTATCAAATTTGGATTCATCTGTCCACAAGATATTTCTTAGAAAATCTGGGTCTTCTACGTCAGCATTTAGCATAAATCTGCAGAAGTCCAACCTTCTCGCGGGGTCTCCTTCTTCAATAGTGTGTTCCGGCGTGTAATGGTACGGGTATAGGCCAGCAGTATGCACTGTAAACCACACTCTCCATTGCGAAAGTCCCAGATCACGGGCAACAATATTAGTGGAAGTAGTCGGATCCGCTCGAAAGCGTTGCACTATCTCATTGTCCTGTTCTTCGTCGTCATTAATTCGTGGTCTGCCCATGTCTGTATTTCGTCTCAAAATAGAGCCAGTTTCTCGAAGTCTCCGATAAACTCTGTCAAAAACAGCCAAATCCGGCACTCGACGACCGGGGAATCGAGCTATGTATTCGTTGCGAGCTTGCGCAGACACACAATCGCAGTATCCGTAACAAATAAGCATAACAGCATATTCCTCAGGTGTGTACGACGTCATCTTCAACACTTCCGTAGCACAAGTACAAATCAAAGTCCGGTTAACAAGCACAGTAGTCACAAATCGGAAAAAAACAGTCCAGAATCACAGCCAAGTCAAGAAAAAGAGCAAAACGATATCACATCTA